AATTATTATCATTATTATTAATTATTATTATTACTATTAATTATTATTATTATTGTTATTATTAATTATTATTATTATTATTAATTATTATTAATTATTATTAATTATTATTATTATTATTATTATTAATTATTATTATTATTAATTATTATTATTATTACATAAAATATGTATTGGTCATCATTAGGTTTATTTTTCTTCCAAAATATCCAGAAATGAACCCTTCTCTTTATTTTCCGAGAGAAAGTATCCCACAGCTGGTCGAAAATTATTTGGTTATCCCAGAATTCGATATAGATGGTAAATGGTATAGGATTTACTTTATATTATAATATAATATAAAATTAACTTTATATTTCCTAAATGTTATTATAATATACCCTTAAACATGTTGAAAGAAAATGACGATATTTTTTTCCATATTCGTGATAATCACGGGTTTGATATGTTTCCAAGCTTGGTGGATCATTTTGTTGGATCCATTTTAATGTCTGGAAAAACATTCTCTTCCTTTTCATAATATAACAATTTTTAATTGTATTAAATTTTTCAATTTTATTCAAATTTTTTATAAATAGCAATTTTTTTCTTTTTAAATCGTTTCATTAAGCTTTATTACATTTTCATGAGATTTTACTTTTTTGATAATTTCAATTTCAAAAATTCAAATTTTTAATCCTTTTCAAGTGAAAAAAAAAACGAAGACTAACCATACTAGCTACTTTATTATAATATGGTGGATATCCGGTTACCATTTCCAATGCTGTTATACCTAAACTCCAAATATCAGCATTACATGTATAAGCACCCTTTTTCAAATCATCCATTTGTAAAACAGCTATTTCAGGTGCCATATAACATGCTGTTCCTGGCATACTTTTCCTTGTCCTCTGAAAGAAACAAAATAATAATTATAATTTCAAAAATAAAATCAAAAATTTCGTGCACAAAAAAAATGTAAGCATAAATTAGCTTAAATGAAATTAGTAAACAAAGAGAAAACAAAAAAGCAAAAATTTCCTTTTACATCAATCAAAATGTTTGATTCATTGTCTCGAAAAAAATTTCTTTTTTTAATCTTCGCTTTTAATATTAATCATTCATCATATATAATATAATACCTCTTCAGATTCTACCCAAACTGAAGGACCAAAATCAGCAAGTTGAACATTTCCTTCTGATGATATCAATATATTTGAAGTCTAAAATTTGAATTTACGAAGAAATTGATTGAGAATTATTAGAATTGTTTATTATTCATTTTTCTTATACGAACTTGAACAAATGAATCCGGTTATTTATAAATGAACTTTTGTTTTTCAGGGTAGGTGTTACTGGACACCTACCTAACACCTGCAACTACCTGCAGTTGATTTCATTCAAGCCGGTTATCGTCGTATGTAAGTCTGCGTATATATATATATATATATATATATATATATATATATATATATATATATATATATATATATATATATATATA